TGGGCTCATAAGCTTTCTTCTTTGGTGGGGTTGCAGGGGAGTTGAGGCTGGTCTGGGGAATGCCACATACAACCATTCAGCACAGGGCCCTCTCCACACCAGGCAATTCTGTCTCCCACAGGCCCCTGGGAAGCCAAGCTTTATTAGAAACTGTCTCCAAACTTGAAAGTGTCATCTGCAAGGGAAGGGGACCTCAGGACAAGAGCCAGCTTAGAGTCCCCTTTATCCCATCACAGACATCTCGCAAGGCCCCCAGCTGAGTATCTGGGCAGAGAATGTGGTGGACCCATTGCACCAACTCCCCAGCGTGGGTACAGGTTTCCTTCTTTCATTCTGCACACGTTTGGGTGAAGTCTTGCTCTCCCCCCCCCCCCCCCCCAGCTAGGTATCCCTCCAAGTCATCCGATACCACCAGAGCTCAAAGCAACTTGCTCTCTAAATTGTTGCCACAGGCAGAATAGCTTTCCATGTATTTCAAGTCACTAAGTATGCAGAAAGTACCCCTCTCTCTTCTACCTGTCTGTCTACCCAATAAGGAAGGAGCCACATAGACTCAGAAATACAACAGCTGGGGGTAGAGGTTACTACCTGAATCCTTGTGTAGCTACAGCTTTGGAGTACCACAAAAAGTCTTCCAGCAAAGACACACTTAAGCTCTGGATGTTTAAATTTTGGACATCAAGGCTATAATATTCACTTCTTTGTTTTTAAATATACTTTATGGATGAAGATACTTGAAGAATTTTAGGTCTCTGGTGTATGACAGATAAAAGTCAAAATACATGCTATACTTATTTTACTCACTTTTTTTCACAAACTACACATCTTTGACATCCCAAGGGATGACCTAATTTAGTATCTGAAAGTTCAAAGATGGCATTTGTAGTGGGAATTTAGCTTCCAATTATACAGCATTATTCAACATTATGAACTATTTTAAAACTTTACTAAAAGGGTAAAACAGGCCATGAACTCTATCTGAGGCCCGATCTTATGAGGCTCTCAAAGGCTCTTTTACAGATCATTTAGAAAGATTAAAGAAACTCACTCTGCCCAGGAGAGCCCTTGCTCAGTCAATTGAAGGTCCCATTAAACATGAAAGAGACCCTTATTTTCTGCTCACCAACTATGGATTTCCATCTCTCCACAAACTGTATCACTGGTTATTTTACTTTTAAGTTGCTTTCATATTTATCATCTCATTTTATCTGTGAATGTGCCAAGAGCCATATATAAAGATGGAAATAAGAGCCCCATTGTTGCTCTGGGCATGGGTGATAGTCAAGTGTACAAAAACAAATAGCCAGGAAGTTGGGTAAAGGAGCAGAGAATGGAATAGAATAGCCATGCAGGTGGGACTGGGGTCCAGAGGGCCTGGGGAGGAATGCAAGAAATGAAGAATAAGGAGTAAGAACAACAACAGAGGGTGGGGCGGTGGCTCAAGTGGTAGCGTGCTCGCCTGGCATGCGTGCGGCCCGGGTTCGATCCTCAGCACCACATACAAACAAAGATGCTGTGTCCGCTGAAAACTAAAAAATAAATATTAAAAATTCTCTCTCTCTAAAACAAAAAAAAGAAATGAAGAATAAGGAGTAAGAACAACAACAGAGGGCTGGGGCTGTGGCTCAGTGGTAGAGCGCTTGCCTAGCATGTGGGAGTCGCTGGATTTGATTCTCAGCACCACATTTTAAAAATAAATAAAATGAAGTTATTAAAAATCAACAACAACAACAACAACATATTTCTAGTTAACTTTTCAGAAATCATTTAAGGGTCTCATTTCTGAATCCCCAACTGGCAAGGGAAAGAAAAGAATCTGTATGTTTTGGATTATTTTAATATGTTATCTCTGCATATGGGAAAGAAGGCCCATGACTTGCTTTGCATGTGTGACCAACATCCAGGAATCCTACTGTCCAACTAAGAAGGACAACTTCTCAGAAATAAGCTACTCTGATATTTGGGACCATGTGGAACAAGTCAAGCCACTGTCTTATGTGAGTGTGTTTTGAATGAATTCATGTATCAATGATCTTTCACAAAAATGTTACAGTTCACAAATCCTGAAAATGAAATCGAATCCCAAGTCATGGAGATTATGCATCTATATGGCATATACATAAATAAAATGTACAGTCTTTGGGGAAAATTGATTAAATTTGAAATGAGTATTGATTGATATTAGTTAAATGAGATTCAATAAAGCCGAGTATGCAAACTCAGAAAATGTGTTATTAGATAAAGGAAGATAAATCACTGGTTATCTCTATAAATTACTATACTAGTTTTTTTTTTTTTTTTTTTTCCTGCCAGAAACAATTCTTGCTTAGGAAGAGCCAACTAAGGAAAATTTGTCTTTTAGGTATGGTAAGAACTTATCATAGCTGTTATTAACAGGATGCTCTTTACAGGGAAAATATTCAAAATCCTCTCTTCAGCTTCTTGAGATACGCAGCCTATGATTATCTGGTTAGATTTGAGAGTTTTCTAGGTGGAATGGGCAAGTGACCCACAGCGCTCTGGAGACTTCCAGAACAAAGGGGAGCTTAGTTCTTCCAACCTGGGTGCCCCTATTCAGCAGGACTCATCTTCACCAACCTGCCCCTCCCAATACCCCTTCTGCCTCTGCCTCTGGATGTCCCACCTCTGAATTTCAGTGGGGTCATTAGAAATAATCCAATTTTATTCAAGATAATAAAATCAGAGCTGCCCATTAAAACTTTTTTTCCTAATTAAATTTCTGTTATGAACTGGCTTACCTGATTATTTTTGGCAAATATTTAATGTGAAACATAGTATAAATGTTGATTACTCTTAAGCAGCAGATTCATACCGGGCTGGTGTTGATTATATTCTATTTATTAATTGCCTACCATGTGCCAGGCACTGTTGTACATGATTTCACTATTATTTAATAGAATTCAAAGAACCCTGTGCAGGTACCATCTTACAGTTGAGGTGTGGCACAGATTTGGAGTCTGAAACAGGGGTCAGCAGACTATGGCCCTTCGATTAAGTTGGGCTCTAGAGATTTGTTCATATTTCTAGGACTATTCATTTACAGTGACTATCACTGTTTTTGAGCCCCCACAGCAGAATTGCATACTGGTGACACTGGGACCTTAGGCTCAGAAGCCTAAACTTTTTACTATCTGGGGCTATATGAAAAAGCTCCCCAAATCCATGTGCAAAATATGATTAACTCAAGGTTACAGGAAAAAAGGCAAGGACATTGGACTGCTTCAACTATGACTTACACTAAAACTTTCTTAGAGAAAAAAATTGTTTCCTTTCATTCAAATCTTATTCTTTATTTTTCCACCTAACGTTAATCAACCAGTCTCGGGTAGAAGAGACTTCATGTAATACTAGTTGAGGAACTAAAGGCTTCTTTCTTAGTAAGGTAAACTCTGACTAAGTGGAGAAATTTCTAAGAAAGTAAGGAAAAAAAAAAAAGCATAAACCAAAGAAAGGTTTAATAAGTTTCCTGAGAGGTTGTAAAACTTTTGGCTGATTCATAGATATTTCTTCTCAAGTACAAATGACATCATTGTCAATTTTTTAAAAAGTTGGCCAACTTGGTCCTACATTTGGTACCACATATTGTTTTAGTTGAGCATCAATTGACTTTTCTATTATTACTGGAAAGTTATGTCATAACTATTTTAGGAGACAGTGTCTGTTCTATCATTTGTGGAACTTAACACATCGATCATGCTTTAAATTATTTTATTTGTTTTTTTTTTGAGGGGCTAATGCTATAAGAATGTATTTATTTAGTACAGAATGTGCTTATTAGCAAATAGTCCACTACATTCTGAAGCGCATTTTAAATAAGAAGTCTAAAATAGGCAATAGGTATTAACAAATGAAAGAATTTAATCTTAATAGGCAGCAAAGTGAGTATAGCTTTGTAATATACAAATTTTCTATTGAATAGTATATTCTTAATAATAAATTAGGAATGAGTTAACATCTGAGCTTCACTGCTCATTTTATTTATTTATTTAGGTTTTTTGTACTGGGAATTGAACCCCTGGGGGCACTTTACCCCACTGAGCTACATCCCCAGCCTTTTTTTTTTTTTTAATTTTGGGACAGTATCTCTCCAAGTTGCTGAGGGCCTCAGTAAGTTGCTGAGGCTGGCCTTGAACTTGTGATTCTCCTGCTTCAGCCTCCCAAGCTGCTGGTATTATAGGCATGCACCACCATACCCGGAACCACTGGTCATTCATTATGCTCAAAAACCTGCTTATAAATCAAAGTCAATAAATGGATTTCCAGAGGATATGATCTGGCTCATAGAGCTGAGTTCAATTCACGTGGAATAATTTATGCAAATAATTTAAAAACAAAATAATTTACACAAATCATGTTAAGTTGTTTACTATAAAAGTGAACAGAAAGGAAACACTCAAGACAAAACAGAGCCCATGGTTTTTCTTCTATCCTTCACTCCTTTCCCCCAAACACCAACCAGCATAGGCCCAACCTAGAACAGTGGCTCCAGGCTTCGCGTATTAGAGGAACCTGAGGATCTCCCACTCCTCGGGCTACACCCTTGGCTATTGAAATCAGAAACTCCAAGGCAAGTGGAGAACTGTGATGAGGGTTAAGAACAGCTTACCCCAATGGGTTCAGTCAGATACACCTGACACCTATTTGCTGGGAGGCTTGAAGGCCCATCCCATCCTCTCGCCTGCTCCAAGCTGCAAGGCACTCTGGCACTCTGATGTGGGATTTATGAACACAGCATACTGGTATGTGCACAGTATCATCCTTACTCCTGACACACACTGACTCATTAGTGCAACTATGAAGAGGAATTCACCCAGTGAGCCCAGTGCTAGCTACATAACCATCTGTTTAAACTTTCATACCTCTGTGCATCTTAGGCGACAACACACATATCCCCCACATTGAAAAGCTTGGCTTTGCTCTTTATTTTGCAAGCCTATTTCTCCTGCTTGACAAACTTGGAAAAGCGAAGCTTGCCTTACCTCCACGATGCTTTTCAAATCTTGCACGTAAGTCCTTTCCGTCTCTAGAATCTCCTGCACAACCCTATCCACATAGAGGAGCTTGGGGCTGGTGGCTGTGTCTGCCGTGGTTTTGGACGCCCCATTTGTGTCCACTCTCCATGGGGTCCTGGGCTGCCTCTCACGGCTCTCGTCCATGTTCTGCGGCCCAGCAGGGGTGTCCCTCTGCAGCTCGCTGCTGGAAAACGGCCGGGCTGGAACCAGCTCCAGCTTTATGGCCCCTGCTTCCTTATCCTGGTGAAATAAGCCCAAGTGGCTATTTGAAACCAAGGTCATTCTGCTGCCAAAGGAGCCATGGCTGTCGCGGGAAGAGGCTGAGGATGAGGTGGAGCCAAAGCTGATGGGTCTGTCACTGTCAGAGAGCTCCATGGTCTTTGGTTCTGGGGACAGGGATCCTTCAGCTGTTGTTTCAGGATCGGGATCTTCTGTCACAGCTGATGCTGCTTCAAGACGCATCCGGTGCCCATCTACATGCGTAGCACAAAAAATAAAAAAGACAGGATAAGCAAGGTGAGAGGGTTGAAAGGAAGTCAGAACCTGGCCTGCAATTATACAGTCAATAACCAAATGGTGCCAAGTTAGTTATAGAAAGAGAGAGGGCCCGAGATGCAAAGCGAGGGCTTCAGAAGCATTGCCTGGGAGCCTGATGGGAACGCAGTCCCAGGCTCTGCCCTAGACCTCCTGACCTGGAATCTGCATTTCACAAGATCCCAGTGTGATGCATACACATGAAAGTCTAAGAAATACATCCAATGTCTCCAAGTGTGACCACCTGGAAGGATTCATGTATGCACTTCAGTCTAGATTTACTAAATTAAAGGCTTAGAGGTTGGGGCTGAGCAATCTATAACTTTAACAAGCACACAAGTGATTCTTATGTACTTAAGAGGCATCCTCCGGTCAGGTGCACTGGCCCATGCCAGCAATCCTAATAGCTCAAGAGGCTGAGGCCGGAGGATCAACTTATGATATGCCAGCCTCAGCAACTTGGCAAGGCCCCAAGCAACTTATGAGACCCTGTCTCAAAAGAAAAGATAAAATGAGCTGGGGCTAACCCAGGTTAGCACCCCTGGGTTCAATCCATGGTACCAAAAAAAAAAAAAAAAAAAAAAAAAAAAAA